GTACCGCCAATGTCAACTCAAACGTGTAGGTAGCTACGCTAGACTAGAGACCACACCAGCTCCTGCAGTCTCGCCAGTGAGAGAAAAAAAACAGCGCCCCCCTCCCCCCTCCCTCATCCCCAAAAAGCAGATGAAGAATTAACACTGTAATGCTGAAAACAAGGACCATAACCAAAGAGCTTGGGAGCAGCCTCGGGAGCACAGAGCAAAGAGCTCGTAAAGAAACCTTCCAGTGTGTGCATATGCGTGCGTGTGTTTATATGTATATATATGTATTTGTTAGTAAAGAAAAGAGTATCTGTGGAGGCAAAGGAAAGACGGTAAATGTACAGGCAGTACAGGCTGGGTGGAGTGCCGGTGGCTGGAGAGGGTCGGGTGGTGCGGAGTGGAGGATGGTGGGTGGAAATTAGAGTGCGCCCATTCCAGTGACCTCAGACGTCAGCCTAGAATAGACAGGGGCAGAGAGAGGGGTAGGGGGGAGACAAAAAACAAGTGCTTAATCACCGGAGCAGAAAAGAAAACGAAGACCCTGCAGGGCAGCGCTCCTCCTCTTGCCCAGACCCCACGCAGACAGAGCGGGCAGAGCATCGCTGGGTGGCCTGAGGGTCCCCCATGGAGGGCACAGGGGGCTGGAGCACAGAGCCAGAGTAATGGCTGGCTGCCTCCCCAACTCCTCGCTGCAGCCAGGTGGTGCCCTTTACTGTCACCGTGTCATGGCAGGGGTGTCACCTACCAGAAGTGCTGGCAGGAGTCATCCCAGAGCACAGCTTCTCTTACAGCAGCGGCCCTCCCACGGGGGACAGGCAGCTGTGTCAGCTCCTCCGGCTGCTTGTTTTGCTCTGGTTTGGAAACTGCGGGAGAGGCTGAGCCCCACCAGGTCACCTCTGCACAGGGGGCAGCTCAGCTAGCCCTTCCCATTAGCTAAGAGGCGCTTCTTTTTCTTTTCTTTCTCTCTCCCGTCTCGGGGAGTGAGGAGAGGAGGGAGGGATTGGCAAGGGTCTGCGGGGAAGCCACAGCCATGCCCGTGGGCGGGGGGCTGCCCCCGTCCCTCGCCCAAGCAGGGGGAGAGGTGCCACGGGCATGGGCAGCGGGGTAGCGGGGCGGGATGGGATGGCGGGGGTCTACTGCGGGTTGGGGCTCGGGTGGGTTGGGTGCAAGGAGCAGAAAGCACATACAGACCTCACCGGTGCTCCCAGCCCACACCCCAACAAGTGTCAGAGTCGCCGCCAGCAGCCCCCCGTCCTCAGGGCACTGCCAGCAGCCTGCGTGCATCCGGGGCTGGCGGCGGGTTGGCACGGCATCGGTCCTGCCCAGGAGGATGGGCCCGTGTGAGTGGCTCTGCCAGGCGGGCGCAAAGCTACCAGGAAGGTCCTGTATCCCTTTAAACTCGCTCTCCATGCGTCCGCAGGCACGGGCAAACAGGTCTGAGCAAGCAGACTGGACACGGCTTGCTGCCTGCACGAAGCAGATTCCCGGCTCTTCTCTGCAGCTACGCCTCCCCTGCACGCTCCCCTCGCAGGCCCTCGCAGGCCCTCGGCCCCCATGGTGTGTGCTGCGTCTCCCCCCAGCCAGCGGCAGTGCTGCGAACCCTTGGCGCCCGTCAAGTCCTGCAGTGCCAAGCTTTTCATGATGGAAAGGAAGCAGTCGGGCCGTTCCCATGTCCTGGGTTTATTGGACTGACTGTTTTCACTGAATGGAGAAAAGCCTTTGGGAGGCCTGGAAGCACGTGGAAAGCAGTAAGCGATGCTGGGACGCCAGCAAGCAGCTCCCAAGTGACGCCTCCCTGCCACCGGCTCAGCTCTGCTCCTGTCCCCATCCCCGGCCTCGTCCAGAGGCAAAGACGGCGGCAACTTTGCCCACCCGCGAGCAAAATCCTTCAGCGAAGGCGGCGGGAAGGGCGGGAGCCCGGCGGAACCCGCGGCCACACCGCCAGCAGCGTGGCGGCTCTCGGTCTCCAGCCAAAGTGCCGGCTGGGGGGAGATGTCCTGCTGCCGATATCTGGTCCCTGCTCAGAGGTCTAAGCAAGACATCGTCCATCCCAG